TGGCGTGCTACGGTGGGGTCTGCATGCACACTCCCATCTCAGTGGAGACATAAACAGTATCCACCCCCTGGTGGATTAGTGCCCTGCTCCGCCAGGGCCATCTTCTCCCTCTTCCTCCCTGCCTTTCCCGCTCCCCCACCCCTTCCCCCTCTGTGTGTTGGAAGGACATGCACATCCTTGCATTTTCCCCCTCCACACACCCCCCATGCCTGTACCTCAGCCCGTAAATCGTGAGATAAGTGGTTATTTCTCTATACCCACTGAGCTGATTATACTACCCCAGTGGCCTCATGTGGTGCTTCTTGTTTTGTGATTGGCTGACTTCGCTAAACATAATTTCCTCCTACTCTTCCCGTGAAACGATGTGCTTCCTGCGATCATCTTCATATGCTTTTAGTGACGCCTAGTACAACGTTGTGTGCCTGTGCCCGAGGTGTCTGATCCACTCGTCTGTTACTGGGCATTTAGGTGCTTTCCAGTGCTTTGTGATTGTGAACTGTGCTGCAGTAAACATTGGAGTGCAGATGACCGGTCGTGGATTATTTCTTACCTCTCCTGGGTATCTGCCCAGTACCATGATAGCTGGGTCATAAGGTAACTCTATTTCCATTTGCTTTAAATATCGCCAGGTTATTTTCCACAGAGGCTGTACGTATCTACACGACGACCGGCAGTAGAGGAGAGTTCTTATCTCGCCACATCCCCTCCAACATGTGTTGCTCTCTGATTTAGGCTATCCTCCGGGGTGTTGAATGGTACCTCATGCTTGTTTTAATTTGCATTTCTCTGATGGCTAATGATTGGGAGCATTTTCTCATATGTTTATAGACCTGAAACGTCTTTTCAGGTCTATTGCCTACTTCCTCAGGGGGTTAACTGTTTTCCTCTTTTTGCAGGCTAGGAGGGTGTTGTAGATTTTAGTAATAAGCCCTTTTTCTGTTGTGTCATTACTAAAAATCCTCTCCTAGTCTGTGGGTTCTCTTGTTACCCTCTTGGTGAAGTCTTTCAAAGCACACAGGTGTTTTATCCTTCGTCTATCCCACGTGTCAATTTCAGGTTCTCCTGTGTGTGTACCCTTCCCTACTACAGTTAGCCTATGTATTCCCTGCACCAAGGTTCTTGGGTTTGCCCCATCCATTCATTGATGGTTCTAATAGTTTGGGGTTTTACTTCTAGGTCAGTGATCCACCTTGAGTTTGTTCTTGTGCATGGCGTGAGGTAAGGATCATCTTGTTTCATTTTTCTACAGGTTTCCAGCACCACATGTTAAAGAGGGCATCCTCCTCCCACTTGATGCTTTTGGGGCCCTGTCGAAGATCAGTTGTCTACATGCCGATGGTTTTATTTCTGGGTTTTCTGTTCTTTTCCACTGGTCTGAGTCTCTGTCATTATTCCAGTACCACGCTGCTTTGATCACTGTAGCTGTGTAGGAGGTGTGAAAGTCCGTTAAGGGGAGCCCTCTGGCTTTGTCCTTTTCTGTGGAGTTCTCTGCTAATTCTGGGCTTCTTCCCTCTCCATGTGAAATTGGTGGTCAGTTTTTCCAGTTCTTTGAAGAAGGTTGTTTTTATTTGAATCTGGATAGCATTAGAACGTATATAGTACCTTGGATAAGATTGACACCTTTACTATATGGAGTCTTCTGATCTACAAGCATGGGATATTCTTCCATTTGTGGAGATCACTTTTGGTTTTCTGTAGTAGGGTTCTGTAGTTTTCCTTGTTTAAGTCTTTAACTTTTTCATGGTTAGCTATATCCTTAGATATTTTTATTTGTTCTTGGTTATTGTTCTTGACTTTTGGCACTGCCCTTTGGTCTGGTCTGACGTATATAACAAACCAGTAGACTTCTGTTTGTTCATCTTGTACCCTGCCACTCTTCCACATTCCTCTATCACTGCCAGTAATCCTGTCGTGGAGCTTTGGAGGTTTCCAAGGTACAAAATCATGTTGTCTCCAAATAGTGATAGTTTCACCTCCTCGTCTCCCAGATGGATACCGTTAATGTCTTTCTGCTGCCTTATGTTGTTCGCTAGGACCTCCAGTCCTGTGTTGAATAGAAGTGGGGGCAAGGGCATCCTTGTCTGATCCCCTTTTTTCAGTTGGATTGCTTTTGTCTTTTCTCGTGGTAGTAGTTTTGACGTATTGACTTCTGGGGTTGCGTGATGTGGCAGTGTCCAGCTTGTGCTTGGTGGGTGTTGGTCTTCTGACCACAGTGAGTCCGCAAGGATTTTCCGCAGGGTTGGGTGCCTTATGTTCAGTTTTTCCTTCTCGGGGAATGTGTCAGTCTGGGTACTTTAGAGAAACAAATCCGCAGCAACTCATGTATAAGAGAGACTTTTATATAAAGGCTTAGTGCACATCAAGAAAACATCCAAACCCAGTGCTGCCCAAGCCCACAAGTCCAACGTTAACCCATATGTCCGACACCAATCCACAAAGCCCTCCTCCATCTCACAAAACAGACGCAGTGATGCCGACTGCAGGAGGAAAGCCGAGTCAGTGAATGTGTGAGCATCTCAGCGCTGGCAGGGGCCTCCACACGGATGCTCCAGCACCCAGGGCTGCATTGGGGTAAGCCCATGTGGCTTCTCCTTGGGGATGTCTTGTATGGTGTCAATCTTGCAAGCTGAAGCAGGGACTGGCTAAGGCAGCTGCACCCTGGTCCGACTATTACAAAGCAAGAGACCCGAGAACTAGAAAGGTGAGGCTCACTGAGCCATTTATCCCTACTCCCTTCAATTAATCTCACGTGTTTATCGGCCAGGTTGGCACAATAAACTACCTCAGGGAAGACTCTTACCTCGTTATCTATACTACTAGATAGTTTGTCAGGGGAGAGGATTCCTAGGTTGGCCATTATTCCTGTCAGCTTTCAGAAGATGTTAGCACTCTCTCTGCTTTATGGTTTCTCCTTTTAGGGCTGAGCATATTCGTACTTGAGCACCATTGTGTGTGACTGCTGTTTTTTCCTCTTGCTGGTCTTAAAACTTTCTCTGGAGGGTGGGCCTCCAGCCTGGGCACTGGCCTTGTCTGGACTGTCAGGCCACCATTTTCAATCTTTTATAGGTTCTCTGTGGAGCCCAAAACTGGTAGAGCCAGCTTTTGACTTGGACTGTGTCTTCCAGCACCTGTTGGCTTTTCCTGGTTTGTTATGTTAAAATCCGAAGCTGTGATCCGGGGATTAGAGTTCCTCCTGTGTTGTTAGGTTGATGTTATGCCAATGGACCATGTTTCTGCTGGTTTACATTCAAAGTTACACAGAGAAACAGACTGGAATTGAAAGTGTTTTTAAAATTTTTTTTCTTTTTATAATGGGCTTATGAGGTGCCCTGGTATGGGGCTGTACTGTGCTGTCCCCCAGGGAAGGGGGACTAAATTAGCCAAGTGGGTTTGGGGCCAACTGGATCTGAATTCTCCCCTGACTGCACTCCTGTGTCACTCCTGGCTCTCTCCTGCACAGCTTTGCAGATTATGCCCCAGAGGTCTGCATTCTGTCATGGGTAAATATCCCAGGATCTCTTCAGTTGTGGCAAATTAGTGTCTTAATTATCTATGGTTACCCACGCTGGCAGGCGTGGAGCTGGGGAGAGGGGGTCAGGAGATGGGCCATTGTTGTCACTCTGTTCCAGGCTGGGGAGGGATGATGCAAAGCCCCAGAATGCAGGAGTGGGATGGACAGTAGAGAGGGGCACTCTGGTGTGAGGTCTTGGGACTAGTTCTCAGAGGTTCTCTGGGAGCCCGGGATTATGACCACCTTTAGGAAGCAGCCTGGGGAAATGACTGCATGCTGCGGGTCTTGGATCTTGGCCACTGGAAGGGGTGGTGGATGCCATCCCACTGGATCTGGTGAGGCATTAGCGGAACCCACTGGTGGTAGATGTGGTGAACTTAGAGCATTTCAGCAAGTTCTCGTATTACTCCGTGGACAAAAATCTAACTGGGAGGTCTGGACCAGACCCTGGCATGCTAAATCTACTTTTAGCACCCAGACTCCCAATGTTGGCCTCTTAATTTTCTGACCTAACAGGAGCATCGGGGTGGGTGATTCTGCCTGGACACCATCTTGACTCTCCACCAGTGTAGATCTTTATGGGATCAAGCAGTCTTATCTTTATACCTGCAGAGAAGCTGCTGGTTTTAAACATCTGACCTTGTAGTTAGCAGCCTTTTGCTCAATCCACTGTGCCACCAGAGCACCAAGCTGGTCAGTTCGACTCTGGTGAAATAGGGTCCCTCGAGGGCAGGTCTTTTGAGAGAGCAGAACTTTCTTGGGAGTTTCCAGAACGGCTACTTCTCCCTTCCCAGTGGGAGAGAAGTGCAAGGAGATGGTTCTCGAATTCTTAGTCTGCGTCTTCCTGCTCGTAAACCTCACAGCCCTCTTTTGTTGTGGTTCTCAGGACTGGTGATTTCAGGGGGTTGGAGCTCTGGGATAGGCTTCCACCAGTGGGGAAGTGGACGTGGTTGGTGATTGAGTTAGTTAATTGTGCCAGCCTGGCTGGTAATCACATGTGGTGCTGGTTGAAAGGCGGAGGGATAAATGGGTGGTGAAGCCTCACCTTTCTAGTTCTTGGGTCTCTTGTTTTGTGATGGTTGCATCGGGTTGAAGCTGCCTTAGCAGTTCCCTGCTTCAGCTTGCAAGATGGATTTCCTACAAGACATCCCCAAGGAGAAGCCGCATGGATCTATCCCGATGCAGCCCTGGGTGCTGGAGCAGCCGTGTGGAGACCCCTGCCAGCGCTGAGATGCTTGTTCGTTCACTGACTCAGCTTTCCTCCTGCAGTCGGCATCATTGCCTCTGTTTTGTGAGGTGGAGGACTTTGTGGACTGGTGTTGGGTTAATGGGTTAATGTTGGACTTGTGGGCTTGGGCAGCATTGGGTTGGGATGTTTTCGTGATGCACATTTTCTTTGCATAAAACTCTCTCTTATACGTGAGTTGCTGTGGATTTGTTTCTCCAAAGTACCCAGACTAATACAGTGATAGAATGATGCTGGTGGTGTCCCCTGCAGTAGACCCGGGTAGAAGGCAGACCCCTGTGTGAGGTCCCTGCTGACTCTCCGCTCCCTCCGATTCTTTGCCTGTGACCCTCCTCCTTGTCGACGAGGACGGTAAGGGACCTGCTGATCTGGAATGTGTGTGATATTTTAGGATTCAGTGTTCGCCGAGGATGTGGCCGTGGTCTTCAGCCAGGAGGAGTGGGCTCTGCTGGACCTTGCCCAGAAGAAGCTCTACAGGGAAGTGACGATGGAGACCTTGAGGAACCTGGCCTCCGTGGGTAAGAAGGCGCATGTTTTTAAAAAGTGTCATCCTGGAGTGAAAGAGAGTGTTTTCTTCATCATTGTTGCCCCTCAGTGTATGGAATGAAGAGTGGGGATGCATTTTAAAATAAGCAAGATCTGCTCTCTCGGTCTGTGATGCTCATGAAAAATAAAGCATTATGTATTCAAGTGAACTTTCTCTTTTGATGAAAAATGTTTCTCTTCAAATTCACTGTGTAGGCATTGGCTTTGGGGTTACTTTAGGGCACTAAGAAATTTGTGTTTGGGGACGTAATGAAGAGTTTTCTTGGGGTACATTTAACACGGTTATTTTGTTGAAAATAAACTCACACTTACCGCTCTTTAAGATCCCAGAAAGCAAAGTGTCTGCTCAGTGTCAGAGAAATATGATTTAGTTGTTCTTTACTGTGTTCCCAAAATGATACACATTTCTCCCTAAGCACCATGGCAGCTTCAGGGGCTCTGCAAAGCAGATGCCCATGCTTTAACCTCGGTCTCAGGCTACAGTACAAGTTTTTGGCTGCCTGGTTGACACTGAGTGATTTTTTTTTTCTGTAAAGAGGGCAGAAGGCCAAGTAGTTTAAGAACCTCTGGCTTATAACCTTAAAACCCCCAAAAGAGGATTTTACTCTGTCTTCTAGGATCACTCTTATTTGAAATTGGATGGATGGCAGTGGACAGTAGGAGCTACATTACACCTATTACTGTAGCATCACTTTCAATCCTCATGGGAGTGTTTTCAGTAGCTTCCTTTATCACCATCACCAAGATGCTGATATCGTGAAATAAGGCTGTGTATTTGCTCAAGTTCTCCCAGACATCAAGTTGGTGCCAACTCATTAGGGACCTTATAATACAGACTAGAACTGCCCCTGTCAGTTTCTGTGACTGTAACTCTTTTGTAGGAGTTTAAAAAAAACAACCTCAACTTCCTCCCGTAGAGCTGCTCCTGGTTTTGAACTGCTGACTTTGAGTTAGCAGCCCGAGCAGTAATCACTACACCACAAGGGCGCCTAAAAAACCAGCCCTCTTCCTTTTTCCTGTCCTTTTTGTTTCCTGTCGTCAACCTCACCTGGAATGGTTGTCAGTCTCGCAGAACCTGAACGATGAAGGAAAGCTTCCCCGTGAGCATAAAACGGTGCGATTCACGAAGCGCAACACCAGGTCCTCCGTCACAGCAGAGAGCTCCCCCTCACCTGACAGCAGAGACCAGCATCACAGCCCAGGGAGATACTTGGGGTGAGTGTCCTTCAAATAAGAAAAAAACACAGAGTTCAAGGTAAAAGTCAAGATCTCATGACATTAAAACCCACATACTTATGAGGGAGCTGGAAGAAGGTTGTGGAAAAATTCTATTAATTCGATTTTTCCGTAAACTTTTGCTTCCAATCACGTTTATTTTATGTGCTGGGGCTTTGAATGTGTTCAGGACGGTTCAGTAATTGTTCAAGTAAATTACTGTGGCATCCTCACTGAGTAGTAGCCGGATGTTGTCACTTCTCGGAATTCGATCAGAGGGAGAGACACTCAGCGATGTCCCACTCAAACCTGGATACCGACGTTGCCGCCTGAAAGGTGTGTCACTCTTCAGAGCCCTTCCAGTAAGCTCGTCTTTCATATCAAGGTCAAATTAAGTTCCTGAAACTTCAAAGACCCATGCAGGAGATTGGTTTATTGGCAAGATTGTAAAGACGGACACATTGAAAACTGTAGGGCACAGCTGTTTGTTTCCCAATCCGGTCAAAATGTAAGAGTTAGCAGATATGGGGTCAATTCAAAATATGTTGCCCTAATTTATGTTGGCAATTGGCACACTAATGAGTTCAAAGCCCAGATATATACTGACTCCAATGTTTATGCATACGTGTCTTTATTCTTGTATATTAATATATAACCATAGTGGTAGGATTTTGTATTCAGAGAACTTCTCAATATAAGGAAGCTACAGAAATCTCATAGAAAGAATGGCATTGTAAGAAAATCGAAAATTTCCTTGAATTGTTCCAGGTTCACTCTTAGCATGTTTTATTTACTTTCCTTATAGCTTTTTTTTTTAACTGTAAGCCACATAAGTAGTATTTGCTGCATAGTTTAGTAGTACACAGTTATCTGAAAACCTTGTGTTTTAGAAAACCAGGGATAGTGCAGTGGAGTATTATTGTGAGAAGCCGTCACCTTTGAACAGGATGAAAACCAAGGATAGTGCAGCCACTAATACCACCACTGCATCAAATACTGCTTATGTGGCTTACAGTTTTAAAAAATGCTATAAGCAAAGTCACCTGTGAACAGGATGCAAACCAGGCACAGGGCAGTGGGTATTATTGTGAGACGCTGTCACTGTGAACAGGATGAAAAGGAGGCTAACCACCATGCACAGTCACTGTGTTTGGTGCTGGTGAACTGAGAACGAATGGATTTCCAACCACCTGCCGCTTATTTTTAACAGAAATCACACAGTAGAGGACCTCCTGGGAAATAATGACGGCAATCAGTATTGGAAAACCCTGAGCTGGATTCCACATCTCAGTGAAACACAAAGAAGTGTTCCAGAAGGAAAGCCTTTTGACCACCGTGAGTCTGGAAGAGACTTGACGGATCCCTCATCCCGCAATCGTTCTACTAGACCCCCCAGTGGATGGAACACCTGCAGAGATCAGGAATGTGGAGAAGCCGGCCGTTACCATTCTCACACGACCACTCTCAAAGGGAAAAACTCGCACAAATGGGAGAAGGATTTCCTTTGCCTCTCAGCCCTTAGGAACCCCGTGAGGGCACTCACTGAGGAGAAATGCTTCATCTGTAACGAGTGCGGACAGGATTTCTGTACTTTCTCTTCCTTCTGGACACACATGAGCGATCATAAGCGTAATTGTAAAAGATACTCTAAAACCCGTAGCCCTTTATCCTTCATTTTGCGCAAAAAAATGCATAAGAGAGATAAACCGTATGAGTGTAGAGAATGTGGGAAAACCTTTACTTATTTCTCGGCCCTCACTACACATCATAGGATCCACACGTCAGAGAAACCTTACGAATGCAAGGAATGTGGGAAAGCTTTTACATTCTCCTCTTCCCTCACCACACACATACGCACCCACAGCGGAGAGAGGCCTTACGAGTGTAAGGAATGCGGGAAAACCTTCATCCAGGCTGCGCACCTCACGACACACAAGCGAACTCACAGTGGGGAGAGGCCGTATGAATGTCAGGAATGTGGGAAAACCTTCAGACAGCCCTCAAACCTCACCACACATAAGCGGACACACAGCGGAGAGAGGCCTTATGAATGTCAGGAATGCGGGAAAGTGTTCAGTTACTCCTCCTCCCTCACTACACATAAGAGGACTCACAGTGGGGGGAGGCCTTATGTGTGTAAGCAGTGTGGGAAAGCCTTTGGTCAGGCTGCACACCTCACTTCCCATTTAAAATCTCATAATAGAAACAAGCTTTATGAATGTAAAGAATGTGGCAAGGCCTTCGGCTTTTATTCTGCCCTTACAGTGCACCGAAGAACTCACATCAGAGAGCGGTCTTATGAGTGTAAGCAGTGTGGGAAAATTTTTAGTTATTATTCAGCTCTCATTACACATAAAAGAACTCACAGTAGAGACAGGCCTTGTGAATGTAAAGAATGTGGGAAAATCTTCAGTCAGGCCTCAGCCCTCACTAAACATATAATAACTCATAGTGGGGAGAGGCCCTATGAATGCAGGGAATGTGGGAAAACCTTCCGGCGTTCTTCAAACCTTACCAGACACACAAAGACCCACAGTGGAGAAAGGCCTTATGAATGTACAGAATGTGGGAGAGCCTTCAGTCGTGCCTCATCTCTAACGCAGCACAAAAGAACTCACAGTGGAGTCAGTCCTTACCATTGTAAGCAGTGTGGGAAATTCTTCAGCTCCTCTTCGGCCCTCACTATGCACAAGAGAACTCACAGTGGAGAGAAACCCTTTAAGTGTAAGGAGTGTGGGGCAGCCTTCCGTTGTTTCTCAGGCCTCACTAGACATATGAGGACTCACAGTGGGGAGAGGCCTTATAAGTGTAAGGATTGTGGGAAAGGCTTCAGTCGCCCTTCAATCCTCACCACACACATAAGGACTCACAGTGGGGAGAGGCCTTACAAATGTGAGCAATGCGGAAAAGGCTTCAGTCAGGTATATTCCCTCACGACACACATGCGAACTCACAGTGGAGAGAGGCCTTATGAATGTAAGGACTGTGGGAAAGGTTTTAGTCAGACCTCAAAGCTCACGATACATAGAAGAATTCACAGTGGAGAGAGGCCTTATGGATGTAAGGAATGTGGCAAGACTTTTAGACAAGCTGCACACCTCACTTCACATATAAGAACACACAGCGGAGAAGCACCCAGTCAAAAGTGGGATATTGCATCCTTACTGATATAATTGCAAATAGAACGCTTCTGAAATTCTTCTGTAAGGGGATGAAGAAAAATCCACAGAAGCCAGTATCAACTGGCAACTAGTTTCATTAGAATCTACTTTGTGACCTTTGAAGAAAGGACAATTTCATTCTGTGAAACGTCCTCAGCAGTGTTACCTATTTGTTGAGTCTAAGATAAATTTAAGCTTTCTTAAAGGCTTTGGCTAATAAAATAAAGCAGCCGGGGAATGTGCTTAAAAATATTTTACGTGTTTAGATGTCGTTATTGCTATTTACATATAGTTAAATAGACATCTTGTATTTGATGTGATGGTGCTTTGTTTGATTTCATATTTAACACACTTCTTATTGTAAACTTATTTTTTTTCTTTTTGTAAGTAGTAAGTTCATTATAGAGCATTAAATGAGCCTGTAAATATTTTGGTTCTTATACTTTGAGTTAATAATTTTAATGTCTTATCAAGTATTAACTATTATGATATTACTGTTTACCAAGTGATATTTCCTGTACTTCTTTGCTTATTAATTGTGACTATGCTAGAAATAACTATTCCTTCCTTACCCTTTAATAAGTTTTTTTATCATACTACAAGCAGTTCATGAGTAAAGAACAAATTCTGTTCCTAAGTTTTTCTTTAAGTCAAATTTGTTTGTATATCCCTGTTATGGATTGAATTGTGTCCCACAAAACTATGTGTCGACTTGCCTGTGATGTGATACTAATATTACGTGGTTGTCCTCTACCTTGTAATCTGATGTAATTATCTTCCATTTTGTGATATATTGTAAATTGTAGACTATACTTGTCTTAACATTAGTGAGTTGTTCGTTTTGTTAATTAGGCAGGATTAAGGTGTATTATATATTGTCTCCCCTCTTTCATAGGGGTATGACGCGAGTCATGCCCTTACTTGAGTCACCCTTTATCTTACAAGAATGAATAGGAGAGCGAAGCAGGGAGAGGTGGGGCTCTCATCCCTGCAAAGAAAGAAGAGCCTGGGTGGAGCCAGAGCATTGGACTGAGAGTAACTGAGCTGAGAACCTCCTAGACCCAGGAGCAGTGCGGTGTAACACTACCTTGAGAGGTATATGTTGAGTGGTTCTGATCCTGAACTTTAGCCCATTTTGACAAGACACATGGAGTCTTCAAAGAATGCTGGGCCCACACAAGCTGAGAGAAAGGCCCTTCCATGGCACTGTCAAGGATAGAAATCTCTTAAAGGTGGAACCCTGAATACAGAGTGATAAATTCCTAAACTAATAAATTGTGTTTACTAAAGCCATGCAATTATGGTGTTTCTGTTACGGCGGCATTAGATAATCAGATAACTAGCAACTGGCTATTCTGTGATGGTCATACCAGAGTTCATTAAGGGTCGGGTTACTGAGACAGCAGTGATTGGAGTGGAGACTCACCTAACTATAGATTTGAGTCTCCATTACCCTGGAGAGTAGCATAATCCATAGTAAGCTCTTTGAGGGTTAGTTCATAGCTATGAGATTGTACACAAGTTGAACATTGTGGACCTGGAACTATCTGTATAGGATAATCCCTATTACATATGTTTCTTTTTTGCTCAAATTGTCCCAGATTTTGTTAGAAGGTCCCTTAAATAGGCTGCTCTACTTTTGACATGTCTCCAGTACAATTTGAATGTCTGCCAGTGTTCATGACGGATCTTTTCCTTTCTAAGCTGGAATCAGACTTTTGTCCAAGAAACCACTGTTCTTTTATTAGAAAATGGTACTAAGGAATAGACCTCTCTATATTTGGTTTGCATATTGCTTCTGAATCTTCAAAGTGCAAAGAGCTCAGAAATACGAGGGGTCTTCAAATAAAGTGTGTGGGGAAAATGCAATTAATAAGTACAGTATTGGCGATTTTTCCATGAACATTCTGAGGTCCTGTGTGTGAGAGTATGCACTTATACGCACACTTGTCATTATGTCTACTTACATGTTCATGGAAAAATGGAATTAAAAGAGTGAAACATTTTAAAAGCCACAAGATCAGACATAGATCTTTCTGATTCCAGTCCAACACCACAGGTTTTATTTTAGCTTTCTCTTGTAGCAGTATCCTTGGCTTTAATGATCTACAGTACATTATTTCCAAAATCTTACAATGTACGTACATGATGCAGCATTGCTAAGTTCCTGCGTGTTCCACTGAAGTCTGATTTATGTGATCAGTGGCCTGGTGCTAACCTCTTGAGTCATACTTTAGCTTCCGTGCAGGACTGGCCAAGAAAACCAGAGAAGCTGGAGGTTTCAGAGAGCCGCTGGGCTGGCAAAAAACCTCTCTCCACTGGTTCCTGGCTATCACTTCCAAGTCAGTCATGTCCCTGCTTGATTCTTGCCCTCATGGAATGATCCCTGAAGGCATGGGTGCTGCAGCAGAGTGTGGTGGAAAAAGTCAGACAGTGCTCAGTTTCCATTAACTTCTGCTTTCTGTTAGAGGTTTTCCTGTCTTTTGTCAGCATTGTTTTTGTGCAATTTTCTTTACATGAAGACTAGTTTGGTAAATTTGTAGAGACAATTAGTAGATTAATAGTTCCTTAGGGTTATGGCAGGAGAGGTTGGGGGTAATAAAGAACCAGTAATGGCACATAAATGAAGAAAGTGTAATGCAATTGATTGTGGTGTTGATTGCACAACTCATTTGAATATACTTGAGCCATTGAATTGTATGGTACATAAGTTGTATGCCAATACAATGATTTTTTTAAAAAATCCACGTGGCATGTCCATAGGACCTGGAATCTCTGCACTGGGACGTCCAGACTTTGCTCCAAGAATCTCTTTATTTATATTGTATTTTATTCTTTGCTCATTGGGATAGGTCTAGGCCATTATGGAGGATCACTTTTTCATAATTTCTCATGAACTGTTGAACCATAAGGAGGCTTGGAAGTCTGAGAGCTGGTGACTCCATCCTGAGGCTAGTATTTTAACAGCATTCAGTGTTAACTCCCAGCCTTTTAGCCAGAAGTTCAGAAGGTAAGAATCATTCAGGGTTCCAACCTTGTAACTGATGTATGTCTCATGGCCAGTCTGAAGGAGAGTGCCCTTCTAACTTCTAAGATCTGCCCTGGCCGCAGATAGTCCCAGACAGAAAAGCCTACCTAGTTGGCTTGTGTTTGAACTAAGCAAGATCAGAATCCAGTTTCCTCGTGACACAATCTACCTGACATAGATGAAGTAGTTGAAGCCGTGACACCTAGATATGAAGTATCTATTAACATGGTGTATTAGTCTAGGTACTTTAGAGAAACAAATCCACAGCAACTCATAAGAGAGTTTTATATAAAGAAAGTGTGCATCACAAAACATCCCAACCCAGTGCTGCCCAAGCCCACAAGTCCAACATTAACCCATTAACCCAACAGCAGTCCACAAAGTCCTCCACCTCACAAAGCACACGCAATGACGCCGACTGCAGGAGGAAAGCTGAGTCTGTGAACGAATAAGCATCTCAGCACTAGCAGGGGTCTCCACACGGCTGCTCCAGCACCCAGGGCTGCATCGGGATAGGTCCATGTGGCTTCTCCTTGGGGATGTCTTGTAGGAAGTCAATCTTGCAAGCTGAAGCAGGGAACTGCTAAGGCAGCTGCACCCTGGTGCGACCATCACAAAGCAAGAGACCCAAGAACTAGAAAGGCGAGGCTCACCACCCATTTATCCCTCCGCCTTTCAATTAGCCCCACATGTGATTATCGGCCAGGTTGGCACAATTAACTAACTCACATAGATATTAAGTATCTATTAACATAGATATGAAGTAGTTGAAGCCATGACCCTGTATTTGGTCCTGACACGGGTGTCTCAACTACTGTGTTACACAGTTGGTGGAATGTTAGCGAGGGAGCGTTGGAAAAGGAGTTGCAACTGTTAGTGCACTTGATGTCCGTATATTGTAAGAAGTCCATAACTGATTCTTATTGACCGAGTAAATAAATAAATGAATACATTTGGAGGAATCCAGGCAGGGACCTCAATTTCCTACTTCTCCCTTCCAAACTGAACTCCCACACCCTGTGTCTCAGTGAAAGGGCTGCCCCTTTCCATCAGCTCTGGAGACTCTCCCTTCTTTCCTGATCCACCATACCACGCGTACTCTGTCTCCAGCAAGGTCAGTGTCCACTGCTTACTGTTTGCCAAGAGTATCAAATTTCTCCAGCTTCATCGAACCGTCTTGGAGCTGTGTTTCAGCTTTTTTGCGAGCCTCTGTCCATCTGCTTCTGGGAAAAGGCATGGCAGTCACCCATGGTCCTGCCTTCAGCCAGTGGAATCCTACATGACCAGCAGAGCTCTCTCTTAAAGACTGAGATGGAGTTACTTAATATGGCCCTTCTAGCCAAAGCCCTCCTTCCTTCTGTGGTGTAAATTCCACCCTCTACACCTGTGGATATAATACCATTTTTCAGGAAGTAACCAATTACAGTCATGAGGCAGCATTAAGCCAGGATCTTTTTTGAGTCTAGTTAACTACAAGATGTGACTCAAGTCAACACTGTTTCCTTGGTGATTGGGCCCGCAGCAAGGAAAGACCACATCTCAGTCAAAGCTATCTGTGTGATCTCCCATTCCAGCCTAAACGCATCTAAAACGTGTGCTGAGTCACCGGGGAGGATCACCAATCAGATGGCAGGTAACCCTGGAAAACTGCTGGCTCGGGACTCAGGTGTGTTTTGTGATGAGTTTCTGGCTGGTTCAGGGAGTAAAACCTGATTTCACTTTCAGATGTTCACTCTCCTTTCTGTACCCTGCATTTGGCTCACCTCTACCCGACCTCTGGTTCTTGGGACTTGAGTTGGAACCATCACCTGACCTGATGTCACTGGCTTCCACGTCCTTAGGGATGAAGAGGATCAGCACATTGTGTGTCTGAATTCAGCGTTGGGACCAACCAGCTCCCACAAACACCTGAGCCATTTCCTTAAGTGCTCCTGGGTTCCATGAGACATTGAAGCAAATTGCAACACCCTAGGATGTGAGGGCAGGAGATAAATAAGGCTTTCTACTCCTGTAAACAGTGACCATCTCAGAAACCCACAGGGGCAGTTCTGCCCTGTCCTGTGGGGTTGCTATGAGTCAGCGTTGCCTCAAAGGTAATGAGATAGAGGACTTAAGGGACTAACCCGAGGGGAGGGATGATGGAGATAGCAGCGACAATGTAGTGGAAAAGTTGTCATTTGGGGCATATTTATTCTTCACCTAACTGGAACCAGTCTTACATTAACATATCAAGAAGAAATTGTTTTTGCTTAGGCCAGAGCCCCAGTCTATCCTCATTGCCCTAACCTTGGGAGAGTGTCATTTGTCATCATCGTATCCGTATCACACTGCGCTCTACCAGCAACATGTTGACCTTTAACCTCGGCACCTGATGAGATCCTTTTTCAGATTAGCATCCATGTATTCACCCCACCTGTCTAAAAGGCACCTCCCTCTCTGTTTTTTTGTTTTGTTTTCTATCAGGTCTGGTAACCCTTCTAGTAGCAGCCCCGCTGACTGCTCTGCCCACTACCCTGTTCATTTTGTTTGGGCCCTAGCATTCCACGAGTTATGCTGTGACTCTGTACTGATAGAGCTTCACTTCTTGGGATCGAGCTCACACTCTGCTTTGTCTCCTTTTGTTTCTGCTTCTCTCTGTCTCTCTGCTTGTCTCATGCGTCTCTCCAAGAAGACACTCAAACAGCTAAAACAAAGGGCAGGTGGGAAGACATTCCCTAAGACATCGGGTCCTTACTGTGTGATCGTGAAAAATAAAAGCACAGACCAGTCTTTTCACGAATATTCTCAGTACCAGGAAGTCAATCCTGAGTCACACAGACCCTGTATAAGACAGGATGGGGCTGCCCCTGTTGGCTTTCAAGACAGTAATTATGTAGAGAAGTAGAAAGCCTCATCTTTGGGACACCAACTGCTCACCCCGTCCTGGTTTGCACTTGCTTCTTACTCTGCTTGCTTGGCTGAGCACAACGCAGCTATTCCCTGAAGGTGGACAGGGACGGGCATGCCCTGCCTGCTGCGATGATGCTTTCCGCTGCCACCACCAGGGCCATTAAGATTGGAATAAAACCAACAAAGTCCCCGGAGAATCCCAAAAATAGACTTCAGACTTTGAGGGCAGGGCTTGGCACCTCATCAGACTCAATTGGAAAACATACATACGGGTCAGCAGACAGACCTGGAACTATTTATGGGCTATGGGTCCCCTCTTCCCTCCTTTTTTTTCATGTCTATCTATATAAGATAGACAAGATAAACAATTCC